CTCGCTTGTAGTCGAGTTCGAGTTGAGGTGCCATGGCGCTCGAGGTGATGAGGGAAGGCAATGACAAGGAGAAGGCTCGCCAAGGATTTGATGGTCGCCAAGATCTCATTGGAGACCGCAGTGATTCATCTCCAAGGTTGAGGCACTCATGAAGTCGATGACTTGAGAGCAACAAGAAATTGTTGACCAACATGAATAAAATTGGAGAGCGGCCGCTTGTAGTTGGTGGTGTAATGGTTTTCATTTTGGTGTTAGTTCATTAGTGTTGTTGGTCAAGTGAAGCGAGTAATGAGGGTTGTCATGTATCCTAGTTATCATGTATCCGATTAGTGTTGTTGGTCATGGTCATGAACATGTATCCAGTTAGTGTTGTTGGTCATGAACATGTATCCAGCTTATATGTACCTTGTTTGAAATCAATGATGCATCTTAACTATGTTGCAAGAAAATGGTCTGCCAAATTGTATCTGAGTTCATGAATGATGGGGCAAGAAAATGGTGTGCCAAATTGTTGCAAAAACATGCATCCAGGTTTAATTTGATCACTTCACACAACAAAGTCTCGCATGGCTGAGTTCATGATTGAGATTGCATAAGCGAGTTCACTGTGTTCATCACACTACATAACATGTTTAGCACACTACATAACAAGTTCATAGGTCCATCATCACCACCAAATAAGTTCACTACATAACAGGTTCATCACACTACATAACAGGTTCACCACAAAATAGATCCATTACATAAGACATGCATCACAGGTCCAGGATGAGCTTCTTCTTGCTGATCCTCTTGCCGGCCTTGCTTGCCTCCTTTTCCCAAACTGCATTTCTTCTCCAAAGAGCCTTGGTGGTCACCACCTTTTCTTCTTCTTTTTGATGTTTGCACTTCTACTATTGGGGAGGAAGTTTCACCACCTAGCTCCAATGCCATCTTGCGGCTGTAGTCATACCCAATATTAGAAAGATAAATAATAGTATGTTGTCATAGATAACAGGCATCAAGTCTTTACACTTACCTCCTAGTGTTTGCTGTGGGGCTGTTTGTTAGAGCTAGTGGTGCAATGTTTGGTGAAATTTTGTTTGTCGAGCGGTGACAGATAGTTGTTTCTTGAGCACCTTCAATCTGTGATTCTTTGGGTAGAGACAGTTGTTGTGGCAGTGCTTTTATTTTTCTTTGCTCTCTTGGGCTTTGGTGGTGCATCAGAGTCATAAACAGTTTCATTACAGGTCTTCATCATGTGACCAAACCCTCCACACCTCTTGCACTGGCGCTGGCTTTTTTGCTTGCCACCTTCTTCAGAACCTTTTATCCTTCTTGATCTGGGCCGACCTGCAGCTCTCTTGAACCTTGGAGGCCAAAGTTTGAATCCCAAGTCCACATCAGGCCACTGGTTCCTATCTGTCATGGGACTTATCACATGTTCATATGCTTTCTTAAACTTATCAACCGAATAATAGTCATCTATGTAGTCTTACACACTTACATATTGCGCATGGAATGGATGAAGCAGAGAGCATGAGTACATGGCAATCCAGAATCGCCACCTTTGACAATTTGCATGATCTATTTTCAAGGTCGACAGTATGCCTCTAGGTTTTCAGTTCCTTTGTAGTGCCTTGAATCTCAGCAGCATTGTTGGGCCCCCTATGTATGGCATACTGTAAATTCCTACTCATGGCATGCAGCTCTTTGGTGACATGAGGCAAGATCTTGTCTCTCAGCTTAAGTGACAGTGACCTCCTAAGGTCTTGTTTCTTCATGATCATTTGCCTGATCCTATCCAACAGAGGAATTAAAGCCAAGGACTTCTCATTCCTAATCCAATTTTTGAAGGTCTCTGCTATGTTGTTAGTAACATAGTCACATTTGCTTGCATGAGAGAACTTCCATCTACTCCATATGTGCTTGTGGTTGTCCTCTATCCAGTTCATTGCCCTTGGTGAAGCTTGCTTCATGATGTTGTAATGGTGATCAAAGTGCCTCTGGTTGTAAGCTCTGCTTGCTGGCCACAAATGTTTCTTGCACACTACTCATCTATACCTCTTGTTAAAATTCTTCACTAGATGCCTCATGCACTCTCTATGCTCTACTCCATTTGGGAAAACATATGTAACTCCCTTATCATTCCTTTGCCTGCATCTGTGCATATGACCAGGCCTAGAGGAGTCCCAATTGCCACTTTAAGTTTCTCAAAAAACCATTTTCAATTTTCAGCAGTTTCAGACTCAAAGACACCATATGCCACTGGAAAAAGCCAGTTGTGTCCATCCACAGCTGAAGCAAAAGCTAACTGTCCCCTCCACCTCCCAGTCAAAACTGTTGAGTCAACACCTAAGAAGGGTCTGCATCCATTTAAAAAACCTTGAACACAGCTCTTAAATGCAACAAACATCCTTGTGAACCTCCTCTTATTACCAGCCAGTATCCACTCAATGTCCACAATGCTACCAGGATTTGTCCTGTCCACCTCAGCCTTGAATCTAAAAACATCTTCAAAGCTGTCATCCCATTTTCCTTGAATTCGCTCTAGAGCCATTTGCAGTCCATCCCAGACAACATAGTATGAAAGTTGGATGTTGTACTTGTTCTGCAAATCCTTCCTCAGTTTACCAGCTTGAATTGTTGGTTCATCCTTCAGGATGGTAATGGCCCTGTCCCTCACCCAGGCATTGGTAGCCATGCAGTTCTTCTCCAGTTGGGATGTGCTGGCACAAATATGTTTTCCCAACTTCTTTATCTGACAAATAAAAGGAAGGCAAAGCATCAAACACATGTTCGGAAAAATAAGAACCAAAATGTAAGGAAATTTGAAAAAGAAATAAACTGACCTGCCAAGTCTTGCCATCTTGCAATTGAGAAGCATGTATCCTCCACTTGCACCTCTTCTTCTTGCTCTTGAATCCTTTGCAGTGCCCTCTATACCTTTTGGATTCACTGTAAGGAGCTGCAATTTCAAACTCTTTTAGCACAACATATTGTCTAATAGCCCTCTTAAAGGTGTCCCCATCCTCAAATGTGACACCACATTCTATAGTTGGGTTTTCTAAGTTAGTAACATGCTCATTGATCTCACAACCAGCATCATCATCAACATACAAATCATCATGAACAAGAGAGTCAGAGTCAGTATCCCCCTCTGATGCTTGTTGATCTTGTTGTTTTGACATATAATGGCCCTCATCATTGACCCCAACATACTCCTCAACATCTTCTTCCCATGAAACATCATCATCAGCATGCTTCTTCTTGCTTCTTCCTTGAGCAGGTGTGGATTTCTCAGCTGAGTCATTAGAGATAGAAGAGTGAACACTGTCATCATCACTTTCTCCCCCACTAAGTGACTCCACATCGGCCTCACCTCCACCAAGCCCAACAGTTTCAACAATCTGATTGTTCTGCCCATCATCATGACCAAGCAGAGGGGGCAGCAATGGGAGAGCAACAGATACACTGGCCTCATTATCCAAAGACACACTCTGACTATATGCAATAGGAATCATGTCATAAAAATTCACAAACAAAGGTAGCTGCCTTAGGTCCCAATAATTGTTAGTAGCATCCATCAAAGCTGCATCTGAGGTCAGATTGGTATAGCATTAGGTGTTCTTATCAAAATATGTCAAATTGAAGCCCTGATTCTTCCCAATAGACACTTTGGCAGCTACCTCCTTACTTAAATCAATCAGATTCAGAGTGTCCCTATCAACAATGAGCTGAAAATCTGCTGCATTGTGAGCCACATTTCTACCGTCATCGCAAGCCTCATAGTAACATGGGACATGCACTGCTATGTGTAATGCAGAACTACTGTCCATCCTAAAAAATGGACAAGAACAAAAAATCATGAAAACCCTAGCTTCGGATGCGCAAATCGACCCCCAAGTTCACTGCAACCCTGTTAACCAACCCCAGATCGAAAAGTGGAAGAGGATAAGAGTGCATACCCCTCAGGAACCCATGACAGATTCACTCCCTTGGATGGTGAATCTATGCTCGAAAGTGAGCCGCCGATTTTACGTGAAGCCATCTTCATGCATCCATGGCACGCCGACTGTGGGGAAGAGACGGCGGTGTGGGCGGCAGGAGACGGCGGCGTGGTTGGCTAGAGACGGCGGCGCTGCGGGAGACTGGAGACGGCGACGTGGGTGGCTGGAGACGGCGGCTGCGGGGAGATCGGAGACGCCACCGGCTAGGGGTTGGATAGAGCATGTGGTCCGGGTTCGACCAAGTAGTGGTCCGGCTCGACCAATGTGGTCTGGTTCGACCAAGGGGTAATGCTGGTCATTTTGGAATGTTTCTCTCTCCCGATTGCTGTTTTTCTTATTTTAATGGAGGCGGTGTCCACTGGCAAACATTCACGATTTCATAATGGTACTCAGTAAAAGCAAGTGTTGGCGGTGTGTTGCAGCCAATTTGTTGTTTTCGCGATGTTCCACAGCAAAAATTGCCTTAATTCTATGATTCATCTAGATTTGGAAAACCGAGCCAAGAGAATTTCATCTACACAAAACTCACATTCTCCTACTCTTTTTAAGACCATGCCACACATCACCGGAGATGTTTATGTGATAACTTATTGAGTGCAGATGAAACTTTAATAAAACTCTTGTCTAAGAATCTATTGATAATAGACCCCTCAAAGTTTGTGAAAACATACAAACCTCGCGATAAAAACGAGAGGGAGAGATCAGAGTTTCACATGAGAAGGTGGAGATTGAGTAAAAAAATGAAAAGGAAATTATTTTTAGGAACAGTACATGTGTAAATAAAAAAGACACGTGTTTTTGTCCTCCTCCTTTATTCTTTCACCAACAAACCGTTTGCAAGGTGAAAGTGTACAGCACAAGCACAAGCACGGTACACATTAACAAAAAAATTGAATAAAAGAATCAACGCAACAAATTAACAAAAAAAAAAATGATGAATAATCAGCTTAAGGCTGATGACAAAGAATCTGGACGGCCAATCCGAGATCCCAGCACCGATGAGGGAACAAGCTAGTCCACCCTGCCGATGATCCTGTCGCACCCGGCGCCGGCGCCGGCGGCGCCGTCCATCTCCTGCTGCTGTCCCGGCGCCCTCTGGGCCACGACCACCTCGCCGCCGTCCTTCTCCTTCCGTCCCGGCACCACCACCTTATTGGCCTGCGTCAGCTCACCGACCACGATGCCCCTCAGCATCTGGAGCTCCCTCCGGTGCGCGGCCAGCTCCCCAGACTCCATCGCCGACACCTTCCTCGCTATGGCCCGCTGAATCATGGCCCGCACCGGCTCCTGCAGCCCGATGCCGACGACCTCGTCTGCCACCATGGTGCCGTCGGGCCGGAACGCGACGGTGGTCACGGCCACGCCGTGCTGGCGCGCCACGTCCCGCGCCTCCGACACCAGCTCCGCGTGCTTCGCCGCGAACAGCACCTCCTTCTTCTCCTCCTCCTCCTGCTCCTGCTCGGGCACCGGGGCGGCGGCGGCGGGGTTTCTCGGCGCCGGCCATGCCTCTCGTTGGCGCTTGTCGATGATCCGATTCCCGCGCTCTTGATAATGATGGAAGGATTATGCGCGCACTATATATACAGAGAGAGAGAGGATTTAGTCCGGGTTTGACTAGTTAACCGCGAGATTAACTAATCGTATTTGATAAGGATTCCCGAGTGTAATTACAGTTAGTATTCAAAATACAAATTAATATTCTTTATTATTTTTACTAATACATTAATACCGGATTAAAAAATCATGTTTTTATTAAATGCTATAAAAAATCATTAACACACACGCACGACTATACGGAGAAGACCGGAAAGCCAGGCACCGGCCTGGCCCACACTCTGGTGGCTGGGCCCTGCAGGCCCAGTCTAGGGTGAAGTCGGCCTGGTCCAATAAAGCCGCTGGTCTCACCTCGCCTGCAACCGGGACTAGGCGGAGGAGGGGAGGAAGGAGAGGAGAGGGAGAGGGGAGGTGGGATTCGCCATGGACATCATCACGCAGCTGCAGGACCAGCTCGACGAGATGGCCATGCTCGCCGTCAACACCTTCGGCACGCTGCAGCGGGACGTGCCGACCGATCGCCTATCCAACAGCTACTCGGACCCGCTCAACTCCAACCCTAAGCCCGAGGACGACTCCAAACCCCAGGTCCAAGGCCAACCTGGCGCGCCGCCGCCGCCGCCGCCGACAGCGCAGGTGCAGGCGCAGGCGCAACCACCGGCTTATAACCTCTCCGAGCAACCTAAGGCTATGAGCCACGCCCTCGTCCTCGCGGCCAAGAAGGTTGGTACCCTGCCCCTCTTGTCTTCTCGGCCTCGCCACCTGCTCGACCAAAGGACCGCCGAGGGATTCCAAAATGTATGTGTGTGGCTGCGGCAAAAGTTTGAGCTTGATCTCCTGAAAGGTCCTAATGGCTAGAGGGGGGTGAATAGCCTAATAAAAATTTCTACAACAACACTTAACAAAAGGATTAGACTATTATGAGGCGAAGCGAGTTTTGCGCTAGCCTACCAAAATACAAGCCACCTACCACAATTCTAGTTTAGATGGAGTATCTTCACACAATAGCTATATCACTACACTAAGTTAGTGTGCTCTCAAAAGCTAACTAAAGAGCCACACTAACCAAAACTAACAAGCTCTCACAACTAGTTATACTAAAGAGCTTGACAACTAGTTTGCGGTAATGTAAAGAGTAGGCAAGAAGGTTATACCGCAGTGTAGATGTATGAACCAATCAATCACAAGTGTGGATAACAATGAAGACTAATCACATCGAAATCAATGATGAACATAATGATTTTTTTACCCAGGTTCACTTGCTTGCTGGCAAGCTAGTACTCGTTGTGGCGATACACTCACTTGGAGGTTCACGTGCTAATTGGCTTCACATGCCAAACCCTCAATAGGGTGCCATACAACCAACACAAGATGAGGATCACACAAGCCACGAGCAATCCACTAGAGTACCTTTTGGCGCTCTACCGGGGAAAGGTCAAGAACCCCTCACAATCACCACGATCGGAGACGGAGACAATCACCACCCTCCACTCAACGATCCTCGCTGCTCCAAGCTGTCTAGGTAGCGGCAACCACCAAGAGTAACAAACGAATCCCACAGCGAAACACGAACACCAAGTGCCTCTAGATGCAAACACTCAAACAATGCACTTGGATCACTCTTAATCTCACTATGATGATGAATCAATGATGAAGATGAGTGGGAGGGCTTTGGCTAAGTTCACAAGGTTGCTATGTCAATGAAAATGGCCAAGAGTGAGCTTGAGCCGGCCATGGGGCTTAAATAGAAACCCCCACGAAATAGAGCCGTTCTACCCCTTCACTGGGCACAACGCGGGGTGACCGGACGCTCCGGTCATATTGACCGGACGCTCGCCCTCAGCGTCCGGTCAAGTGATTCACGCCACGTGTCCCCTGCTTCAAATACTGTTCGTTAGATTTCAACGGTCGTCTGTTGACCGGACGCGTCAGTTAGAAAGTGATCGAACGCTGGACTTCAGCGTCCGGTCGTTTTTAGTAAGGTTCCAAACGCGATTTTTTCCGACCGGACGCATCCGGTCATGCTTGACCGGACACAGCCAGCGTCTGGTCACACAACATCTCCTCTGTACGCCCTATGTCAGCATACGTCAGCACTGAGCGGACGCACCCCGCCAGCGTCCGGTCGCTGAGCGACCCAGCGTCCGGTCATGAGACCGAAATGCACGCCCTCTGCTACCACTAACCGGACGCGCCGATCCAACCGAGACCAGTGTCCGGTCACTTATAGTGACCTCCATCTTTTCTGTCTACGGCGCCGGTGACACTCTACCGGTGAAGTTTCTTACCCTTGCACTCAAACTTCACCACCCTTGATCAAATGTGCCAACCACCAAGTGTATCACCTTGTGCACATGTATTAGCATATTTTTACAAACATTTTCAAGGGTGTTAGCACTCCACTAGATCCTAAATGCATATGCAATGAGTTAGAGCATCTAGTGGCACTTTGATAACCGCATTCTGATACGAGTTTCACCCCTCTTAATAGTATGGCAATCGATTCTAAACATGATCACACTCACTAAGTGTCTTGATCACCAAAACAAAATGGCTCCTATAATTTATACCTTTGCCTTGAGCCTTTTGTTTTTCTCTTTCTTCTTTCCAAGTCTGAGCACTTGATCATCACCATGGCATCACCATCATCATGTTATGATCTTCATTTGCTTCACCACTTGGAGTGTGCTACCTATATCATGATCACTTGATAAACTAGGTTAGCACTTAGGGTTTCATCAATTCATCAAAACCAAACTAGAGCTTTCATCTCCTCTCGGCTCGGTCCAACGACCGAGTCAGGGCCTTGATCCGTGCCCTGATCGGGGGCGTCCAACCGTTCCATGGTTGGTGGGCCCTCGTCGCGCAGCGCAATATAAAGGAGGTGGGAGGCCAGGGCTTGCGTCACAAGGTTCACCTGACCCGCCTTTCTCCCACCTACAGTCCTAACCCTAATCCGATCTAAGAGGGAGGCGCTGAAGCGATGGGAAGCTTCACTAACGTCTTCACCGCCGCCTCTGCGCCACCACTACACTATGACCGACCTCAACGTCGTGACCACAACTTCGCTGACCCGGACCGCATCACCTTCGCCATGGCTACGTCGAGCTCTTCCTCCAAGCCTGCGGATGGTCGGTGACATCTCATCTCCCTTCCTCTCTCTCTCTCTAGATCATGTTCTAGGAAGTTTTCATCCCGTATGTAATGTTGTACCCGCTAGATCTATGTCTAAGTGATCCACTAAGTCTATTAATGGTATCAGTTAAGCCGGTTCTAGGCGTAGATCTAGGATTTGGGGTAGTTTAAGTTTTAGCAAGTAGAAGGAGATGATTTGATCTTCGATTTCAACTCAAATCCCATGCAAACCCTAACCCTAAGTAAGAAAGAAGTACGGAGAGGAAAGAACCTACCTGGGTTTTTCCCCACCGTCGCGACCATCGTCGCGCAGGAAGGAAGGGCAGAGATGTCGGCTCCCCGGTGCTCCGCTGCGTCGTGTGCATCAGCACGAGGCTCCAAACGGGCATCACCGCGGTGCCACTCGATGGCGCCACGCGCTTCTCTGGCCGCACGCGTGCACCGGCGAGGGGTGCTGAGGCGGCGCTGCCACCTTTTCCTCCGGTCGCCACCCGCGACCGCTGTCGCTCAGGTCGCGGCGCTCAGAGAGGAGAGAAGGGGTGAGAATGAGAAATGGGGATTAGGGTTAGGAGCCGACGGCAGCACGGCTTTGATCTCGTGAAACCGGTGCCTAGCTGTTTGATGCAGATGAACGGTTCAAGATTCACCGGGCCGAATCCGGCCTAGGCAGGGAGGTGAAATCCCGGCCCAGGCCCAGGTTGTGGCTTGGGTGCGGGGGAGCGCCCAAGCGAGCTGGGCTTTGGCTGCGTAGGCGTAGGCTACCCGCATTGCTTGCTGGGCTGCACGCGCTACTATTGCTAGCTGGGCTGCGGGCCACTAATTCTGAGCCGGGCCAAATTCGTAGAAAAGAACAGTTTGAGTATTATTTTTTCAGAAGCAAGTTTTGATAAATTAGGTCTAGTTTTCCATCTCTATTTAAATTTGAACCAACGGAATAATTTTTTCAGAGAGTAGATGAGTACAGTAGAATGCTTCTGAAAAGTAGATAAAATTCTTTTTCATGTTTCCGTTGCTATTATTATGTTCACCCTCTAATTAAATTGGACAAAAGGAAAATTTTAATTTGAGGGGTAGTCATATTATGATTATAAGTTTATTCATGAGTTATTTTCCATGCATTAATTTCATTTCTGTCCAACGGTGATATAGAATTAATGTAGAAGAATGTTGTATTTATGATATTGCTATTTTCTGACCAAAGTTGATGATAGCAATATTATAAATTTTTATTTATGAGTTCTATGCATTAGTTCTATTTCTGCCCAACGGTGATGTAGAGTTAATGTAGAAGCACATTGTATGTTTTAATTTTGACCAACGTTAAATTAAGCCATGCAATTATTATGTCATGTGTTTCTCACTTTCTCTGATGATGTTTTCAGGACTTAGCCCTATAGCATTCATCTCGCACATTCCGCCTCTTGAAGGAGGCAACTATCGCGTATGGCGAGAGAAGTATGAGTTGGCACTTGCGCCATCCGAGAATGACCTAGCACTTATCTCTCCGTGTCCTACTGAACTAGTGGACCCGGTGAGGGTAGAGAATGAAACTGATGTTGATTTCGCTGCTCGGCAGTGAGATCATGTAGAAGTGAGAATGAAATACGATCTTGATCGTAAGAAGTGGGACATTT